TGGAATTTTTGTCTTTTGCTCAATTTTTCAGCGAGGAAAGCATAGTTTGGGATTTTCGTGAACTATTCATATGTATGTCAATCAACTTATATATGATTTGGTAAAAAGATACCTTCTTGCAGGTCCTAAGCATTGATATAAACAGTTTCTGATTTTTCTGTGTTTTTCACGATTTTTTGGGTATCATAATTGGACATGTTGGGATTGCGTGGCAGAGACACGTTGCATTCGCCCGCGAATATTGGCATCTTTAAATTAATTAAAGTGAGTCAGGAAATATTACCCCTACTAAAGTATTATATATATTGTATATTTACTTTTTATTGATATCTCACATTCTAATACATATATATTATTTCATAAATGGCTGGTCTACTTTACGCTCATATAGCTTGTTTAATGTTTTATTTATATAAAAACTCCGTCACATGTTTATCCCGATCTTTATTTTTCTATCATTACATACAATTTACCTCAAAATATTTATTAGTAAGTGCACTTGTCACTGATTTGTTTTCAGAATGGTTCTTTTAGATATTCTGGCTAGTGAAGAAAAAACCTGAATCCCCACCTGCTGGCTTAAGGGATGAAAAGAAATAATAAGAGACGTTGTAAGCTAATGAAGTCATACTTAAATGTTGACGTTTGTGTGCAGTGGTTTCCAATGAGCTATTTTCGGATGGATTACAATTTTTTTCAAAATGCCAATCTAGCTGTCACTCCAAGTGTGAAAAAAAGGCATTTTCTGCTGTGAAATGAACAAGAAACTACTAACAGAAGTCTTAGCTACAGACAGAAAAGTTAGATTGTGTGTGTGAGAGAGAGAGAGTTACTTTCTGGCTGGTCCTTGAAACTTTATGTGGCTTGTCAAAATTCATTTTATGTGGCTCTCCACCCTTAGTTGACATGAGCAACTCGTTTTTTTCTGGCTCTTCACCATTAGTTGACATGGAAAGCTCGTTTTGTCTGGTTCTTGACCCTCAGTTGATGATGAAAGCTCATGCTGTGGTTCTTTACCCTTGGTTGACACAGAGAAGTTCGTTTTGGTTACTCTTTGGTTGACTCTTGAACCTCAGTTGATATGGAAAAACGTGTTTTGGTTTGTATATTTGCCCTCATGGAAAGCTTGTTTGGTGTGATTATTAACCCTTGTTGAAGTTAAGTATGTTTAGAATATATTATGGTGTTTTCAATATGGTAGTGTATTGTTTAAATCAGCACCCTGATTTCAGTATAGTAGTGTATTGTTTAAATCAGCACCCTGATTTTGAGCATAGTAGTGTATTGTTCAAATCAGCACCCTGATTTTGAGCATAGTAGTGTATTGTTTAAATCAGCACCCTGCTTTCAGTATGGAAGTGTATTGTTTAAATCAGCACCCTGCTTTCAGTATAGTAGTGTATGGTTTAAATCATTACCCTGATTTCAGTATTGTTTAAATGAGAACATACTTCATGTTCAAGTTGTTCATTAACTCTGGTTGATTCCTACAAGATACGTTGAGTTACTCAAAGATAACGTTTCTATCGTCTGTTTATTGTGCTTTTGGCCAAAATAACTGGCGACATATTACCGGTTGTTTAACAGTAAATAAGCTGTTACCGATTTTAAGTATTTATATTTTGTTTTTAAATTCCCCAACAAACACAATATCGGTTCAAGTATCAATAATCAAGTTTTCAAAAGAAAAAAGGTACGAAATAAAACTTTCATATTGGTTTACAATATATAATTGTTGGTTTGTTTTAAGCTCCAAGCTGTACAATAGGCTATACTTATGCTATGTTCACCACAGAGATCGTACCCCAAATTCTGCGTTATAAAACCTCAAACTTACTTTCTGAGTCTCCAGTGGACGTTATATTTATATTCATTTTTACTGTATTAGGCATAAGAACCTCCTGAGTTAAGTAATAAATATTTAGTAGGTTCTTCTTTTTTGGAATTAACTACATTATGACATCGATCCTGCATACATGTTAACAGTTTCATAACTATCAATCGTTATTTTCTTCCACATTTACGTTATAAGTTTCCTTTGATTATTAACTTTCTTCATGTAATATTACGTATCAACCAGTGCCACAAAATTCTCATTGGGGTTGAAAAAGCTGTCAACTTTAAGGCATTTTTTATTATTATCAGAATGCATTCCTTCTCTTCCATAAGCCTCCCACTCAGGGGGAGGGGGAGGCAATGCGTTTTGTTCCTTCTCCTTCATATATATCTTAGTCTGGAAGGCAATGTTTTTCTTCCTTCCTTTTCATATAGAGAGGGTAATATGTATTGCCCCTTCTCTTCCATATGCCTCTCACTCAGCAGGGCAATGTGTTTTGGTCCTTCTCTTCCACATAGGGATGACAATGTATCTTGTCCTTTCTCCTCTATATGCCTCTCATGTGTTTTGTTCCTTCTCCTTCGTATATCTCTCATTCGGAAAGGCATTATATTTTCTTCCCTTTCCTCCACATTTCTCTCACTCGAGAGGACAATGTGTCTTGTTTCTTCTTTTTCAAATATCTCTTACTCGGGAGAGCGATGTGTTTTGTTATTTCTTCCCCATTCAGTGGTGGTGATGGTGTGGGAGCAATGTGTTTTTTTTTATATACCTATAGAAAGCAATATGTTCTGGACAATAAGCCTTGTAGGTCACCTTTTAATAATAAGCTGCTTCTTTTATTTTTCTAACTTTTATCCGTATTATAACTCTCAAAATCTTAGGGTGATATTGGCACTTTTAAATTTCCTCAATGAAAAACTAACTTGGATATATCACTATGAAGACATTCATTTTCATTATAATTTCAAAAAAATATAATACGAAAACGTTTTTGCTATTGTATATTTAAGGTTACAATCTAAACAAGTTACCATTATACAACTGTTATTTTATCCATTATTCTATACTATCAACCATTATCAACCATATTTATTTCATTTTACTCTAAAAGATACCATTCCTTATATGACAACACTGTGGATGTAGGTCCACATGAGTCTTGCTTGACGTAATGGTTTGCGTGAAAGGCTGCGGGTCAGTGAGCCCAAGATTTAACCCTGAAATATGCCACTGAACCCTCTCCACAGTCAACCCTCTATTCATTTAAAGAGAAACCATGTAAGCAGTAAGTGCCCCTGAATGTTTGTACTTCATGGATTCAGCAACTATAAATTATAAACGGCTCTGCCTAAATTTTCGGTCTCTGACCTGGTCATCTAGCCCATATGTTGCATAAAGTGCCGTTCAGGTTGAAAATATGAAATTCGTGATTAAATATTTTTCACGAAGGATTCCTGCTACAAATGCAGTAATGCAGAATACACGTGAATCACGATGTCTCAAAAAGAGACAACTAAACCAATATGGCATCAAAATGCCAATAACGATGTCCAACTTAATGATAAATTAATAAATAGAATGTGAAGATAACAATGTGGAATCGAGGAATCTTTGGAATTGCTATTTAAGATGGATCCACGCTACTACAACAGATGGATGGAACCTGTTAGATCTCTCAAGATCAATCCAAGCTACTGCAACAGATGGATGGAACCTGTTAGATCTCTCAAGATGAATCCAAGCTACTACAACAGATGAATGGAACCTGTTAGATCTCTCAAGATGAATCCAAGCAACTACAACAGATGGATGAAACCTGTTAGATCTCTCAAGATGAATCCAAGCTACTACAACAGATGAATGGAACCTGTTAGATGTCTCAAGATTAATCCAAGCTACCACAACAAATGAATATAACCTGTCAGTCTTCTCAAGATTAATCTAAGCTACTACAACAAATGGATGGAACCTGTTAGATCTCTCAAGATGAATCCAAGCTGCCATAACAAATGAATATAGCTTTCAGTCCTCTCAAGAATAATCAAAGCTACTACAACAGGTGGATAAAGCCTGTTAGAGCTCTCAAGATGAACCCAACCTGCCACAACAAATGAATATAAGCTGTCAGTTCTCTCAAGATTAATCAAAGCTACTACAACATACAGGTGAAAGCCGTTAGATCATTGGAGATGAATCCAAACTTGAATAACAAACGAATGGAACACTTTGTATGTTTTAAGATAAATGCAAACTAAAATAATAGATGAAACCAATTGAAGATAACCCCGCAACTACAATAACAGATGGATGAAATCCTTTCGATTTTCTAAAATAAATTAAAAACTACTACAACAAATGGATGAAACCGTTTGTTGTTGTTGTTATTTTTTAAGATAAGTCATTTTCTAAAACTTTAAACTAGCTGTTGAAAGTTTCTTGAAATGATATTTGGAGTACTTTCTATCGCAAGCAGCATATCATCTTAATAAAAGTACTGCTCGGCCATTGTGAAGCCTTGTTTTTTGAATATGATGGTAAATTTAAAAGTGGTTTAATTACATTTTTATCAAACCTTTTTCTTAGTTAATCTATGATTGATTGTTGTTCATTTTTGAGTATTATAAGATATTTAAAAATGATTTTATTTTAAAAGTCCGACTTTTTTACTTTAGAAGTTGTTGATTTTTTCAAATTTTATACATCATTTGACAACAAGACTTTTCATTTTACAGAATTATGTCTAACTGAAGTGGTCACAACAAGCAATGAAACGTCTCTAGATATTATTTCTCCAGTACACAGTCACGTACATGAAAATTTAGATAAAACAAACACTAAACATGTAGACTCAACATCAGGGATGCCTTCTTTGTCAGACAGCGACTTAGATAAAGGATACGTGCATCAAACAGAAACTGTAAACAAAACATTTGAAGCTCTATCAATATCAAACGTACACCAAACACACGACCTGAGCAAAATATCTGAGTTTCTAACAGGATCAAACTTACACCAAACAAATGGCCAGAACAAAATATCTGAAGCTTCACCAACATTAAACATAGACCATACAAATATCCTGGATAAAACATCTGAAGTTCTAGCCACATCAAGCGAACACCAAACAAACAACCTGAACAAAACATCTGACGTTCCACGAATGCCAACCGTAAACCAAATATACAATCTAAGCAAACCACCTGAAGTTCTACCAACGGCAAACATACATCAAGAGCACAACCTAAACAAAACATCTGAAGTTTTAACTACATCACACTCACCTAAAATACTCGACGTTAATAAAACATCAGAAGTTACATCAACATCAAACTTACATCAAACACGTGACCTGAGCAAAACATCTGATGTTCTAACTACATCAAACTCACATCAAAAACTCGACGTTAGTAAAACACCTGAAGTTCTACCAGCATCAAACTTACATCAAACAAAAGACCTGAACAAAAGACCTGAAATTTCACCAACATCAAAAGTAAATCAGAAACAAAAACAGAACAAAAGATCTGAAACTCTATCAACATCAAACGTAGTCCATACACATGACCTCAACAAAACCTCTAAAGTCCCACCTACATCAAACGTAGACCAAACACACAATCTAAGCAAATCATCTAACATTTTACCGACATCAAACGAACATCAAACACTCGACGTTAGTAAAACATCTGAAGTTTCACCAACATCCAACTTACACCAAACACATGACCTGAACAAAAGACCTGAAGCTCCATCAATATCACGTGATGTGCATAAGAAACACAACCGGAACAAAACACCTGATGTTCCACCAACTTCAAAAGTAAATGAGAAACAAAAACAGAACGAAAGATCTGAAACTTTATCAACATCAAACGTAGACCAAACGCACGACCTGAACGGAACCCCTGAAGTTGTACCTACATCAAACTTAGACCAAACATACAATTTGAGCAAAACATCTAAAGTTCCACTAACATCGAACGAACAACAAATACACAACTTGAACAAGACATCTGAAGACCCATCAACGTCAAACGAAAACCAAATACACAACCTGAACAAGACATCTGAAGTATTACTAACATCAAATGAACATCAAACACACAACCGGAACAAAAAATCTGATGTTCCACTAACATCAAAATTAAATCAGAAACAAAAACAGAACAAAAAATCTGAAGCTCTATCAACACCAAACGTAGTCCATACACATGACCTGAACAAAACCTCTGAAGTGCCACCTACATCAAACGTAGATCAAACACTCGACGTTAGTAAAACGTCTGAAGTTCCACCAACATCAAACTTACAACAAACACACGACTTGAACAAAAGACCTGAAGCTCCATCAATATCACGTGATGTGCATAAGAAACACAACTGCAACAAAACACCTGATGTCCCACTAACATCAAAAGTAAATCAGAAACAAAAACAGAACAAAAGATCTGAAACTTTATCAACATTAAACGTAGTTCATACACATGACCTCAACAAAACCTCTGAAGTGCCACCTACATCAAACGTAGACCAAGCACACAATCTAAGCAAACCATCTGAAATTTTACCACCATCAGACAAAAATCAAACACCCGACGTTAGTAAAACATCTGAAGTTCCACCAACATCAAACTTACAACAAACACACGACTTGAACAAAAGACCTGAAGCTCCATCAATATCACGTGATGTGCATAAGAAACACAACTGTAACAAAACACCTGATGTTCTACCAACATCAAAAGTAAATCAGAAACAAAAACAAAACAAAATATCTGAAACTTTATCCACATCAAACTTAGACCAAACGCACGACCTGAACAAAACCTCTGAAGTTCCACCTACGTCAAACTTAAACCAAACATACAATTTGAGCAAAACGCCTGAAATTCCACTAACCTCGAACGAACACCAAATACACAACCTGAACAAAACATCTGAAGTCCTACCAACATCAGACGAACATCAAATACACAACCTAATCAAAACATCTGAAATTTCACCAACATCAAACGAACATCAAATACCCGACCTGAGCAAAAAATCTGAAGTTCTAACTACACCAAACTCACATCAAACACTCGACGTTAGTAAAACATTTGAAGTTCCACCAACATTAAACTTACACCAAACACGCGACCTGAATAAAAGACCCAAAGCTCCATCAATATCACAAGATGTGCATAAGAAACACAACCGGAACAAAACACCTGATGTTCCACCAACAGCAAAAGTAAATCAGAAACAAAAACAGAACAAAATATCTGAAGCTCTATCAACATCAAACGTACATCAAACGCACGACCTGAACAGAACCTCCGAAGTTCCACCTACGTCAAACGTAGACCAAACACACAATTTGAGAAAAATATCTGAAATTCCACCAACATCAAACGAACACCGAATACGCATCCTAAACAAAGTATCTGAAGTTCTACCAACGTCAAACGAACACCAAATACACAACCTAGTCAAAACATCTGAAATTTCACCAACATCAAACGAACATCAAATACACAACTTAAACAAAGCACATAAACATAACATGTATATAATAAATGTAATCGAAGACATAAACATAACATGTATGTATCAAATGTAATTCATGATATAAACATAACATGTATGTATCAAATGTAATTCAAGATATAAACATAACATGTATGTGTCAAATATAATTTTAGTTTTCACTTACGAGTAGCTGTCTTGTTTTATTGATAATTTACAATAGGCTTGGAATTCTTCTGTTACGTCTCTGTTCGTTAGTTAATTTTCCGTTAAATCTCTTATCGAAGAAACTTTACCGATACAA